ACATTTGCATGAGAATGGGTGTTAGAACTTGGCTTACTCACTGTTTTCCTCAGACAGTGTAGACATTTAACTTTTGTTTTTAGCAATTGATGTGACTGTGGCAAAGTCTAAGGTAAGGTTTATATTCCCCCTTGTAAGCAACATAGTTTTAATTTCTACTGAAAAATAACAAACTTCACCAGGATGTGCTTTACTTTTTGTCTGTAATGCTTATATTTAGTTGTTCTCTTATTTCAACAAGTTTTCTTCTATTAATGCTTAATTTTTACTATTGAGCTCCAGTCTTCAGGAATACCAATTTTGTGCATGTAAGCACTCCTCATTCTTTCTTTCTTAAAAATCAACTTTTTAATTGCTTTGACTTGGTTGGCAGAGACAGTTTGGCATCGTGATATTTCTAAAATAGTTTTTCTTTCTTTAAGAATATCAGAGAACATTGTTTTCTTTCTGATAAGAATATCAGAAGTGTTTTTCACCTTCTTTTTTTGTGCCAAGTGCTGCCAATATATATATATTTTTTAAGCTGAGCCGTCCTGCCACCTGTTGGCAGCTCAGTGGCTGCTCAGCTCAGGCTGGGAATTGAACCACTGTTTCTCAGAGCTCAAACTCTTGAGCGATCTCTTAACCAACTGAGACACTCGGCCGGCCCTAGCCAATACTTTTAATCTCCTTAAATGTCTTGTCCTTTTAATTTCCTTTGTTGTAGGAGTTCTTTTTCAGTCTAGGTTGTCCGTAATTTCTTAAAGTATGAAGTATTGATATAAAATTATCTTTTTTCTCCTGAAACATTTATTCTAATAGAAATTCTTCAACTGCTTTTGGGTTCTTTGAGGCTAATTTTGATGGGAATGGCAGTAAAACAGTGTGAGGGGAGTGTCTATGTATCAGTCCCTTGTAAGTTATTCTGGACGTTAGTCATTGTATGTGGGAACAGCTTTCCAAGCTAGTCATTTATTCAAAGGTAGTTTTGGAAGGAAAGGAATATATGGATGAGCCAGGAATTTTTTTTTTTTTAAAGATTTTATTGGGGAATTGAGGGAGGGGGAAAAGACAAATTGCTGTTTTTGTTCTTCAGTCTAGTTGTGGAGGATGTTGCTTCACTGGCCTATGTTGGTATTATCATTGCGCTCTTCCCGGGCAAGGCAGATCGGTCGCCGGCCTCTGGACAGCCGCTCATGATAGCTCTTGGCAGCTCACACTGCCTGCCAGCCACTCATGCTTGCTGCCGGCTACACACAATAACTTATGAGCCAGGAATTTTCAATTGTATACCAGGTGTAATATGATACTGTTGAAGGATTTTAAGGAACAAGTCAACTATATATGCACACATTAAGAATGAAAGTAGAATCTGTGTGAAATATAAATGAAGAAATTATACAAATATGATACCATTTTCAAACCACCGATAAGAAGAAAAATCTATTGTCTGTCTCTAAACACCCATGTAGAAATCCTTAACGTCAGCTGACTTTCAGAATAGACTTTTCTGATGGCATTCAAACTGTCTCCACCTCTGGACCCCTATGAATTCTTTAACTCTTTTTTGTTTTTTTTGTTTTTTATACTTTTAAATTGGAGAATTGGGGGAGGGGAACAGTATTTGGGAATTGGGGAGGGGGACCAGCCAAGTTGTTGTTCTTCAGTCTTAGTTGTGGAGGGCGCTAGTTGCCATATGGCTGCCTGTTGGCAACTGGTGACCTTTAAGCTCAAGGTGCTGTGTTACAATCTTAGTTGCGGGTGGGCATAGCCACCATCCCATGCAAGAGTTGAATCAGCAGCCTTTTTGTTAAGAGCGCATGCTCTAGCCACTGAGCCATCCAGGTGGCAGCTCAGCCCAAGGTGCCAAGTTTAGTCTTAGTGGCAGGTGGGCTCAGCCCACCACCGAACAGGCAGTCTTGTTAGGAGAATGTGCTCTCACCAGCTGAGCCATCCTGCCACCTGTTGGCAGCTCAGCGGCAGCTTAGCTTGGGCGCAGCGTCACTGGCACATATGGGAATCGAACCGGTGGCCCTGTTGCTCAGAGCTCACGCTCTTAAGTTAACTCTTAACCGGCTGAACCACTCAGCCGGCCCTCTTTAACTCTTAATATGTCATTTATTGTGAAAGTATTTTAAGTATTAATAATAACACCATTCTAATTTGGAAACGTTAAAGTCTTGCTGAGTATTACCTACATTTAATCCTTCCCTAACCACACTGCATTTTTCCTTTTATTCTGTTTGTTGATTCAATTTTGATGGTATATTGGTTTGATTGCTGTTTAACAAATTACCTCCAAAACTTTGCAACCTAAAACAACAAGCATTTATTGTATCTCGCTCTCTGTAGATCAGGAATCTGGGTACAACTTAGCTGGGTGCTCTGACTCAAGGTTTCTCAATGAAGGTGCAGGCCACAGCTGCAGTCATTTCAAAGCTCAGCGGGAGGAGGGTCTACTTCCAACCTCGCTCACAGGGCTGTTAGTTGGCCTCCGGTTCTTTATGGCTGTTGGCTGAAGATATCAGTTATTTAACACACAGGCCGCTCCATAGGGTTCCAAAAAATAAAGCATGGGAGACTTCATGCAAGAGAGAATTCATGTTTTTGTAATCTAATTCAAAAGTGGTACATTATTTTGCTATATTATATTCATTAGAAGTTAGTCACAAGCCCACACTCAAGCAGAGAGTATTCCACTAGCACATGAACATGAAGAGGCAAGGCCATGGCTGGCCATCAAAGAGGCTGTCTACCATAGTTCACCCTCTGACCTGCCATAATTCATCTCTCTTTACATGAAAAATACATGGACCCACCCAAGGTGCCCAAATGTCTTCTTGCATTAAAACATCAGCTCAAAGTGTTAAATCTTATCAAATGAATCAGGATCATATGTGGATGTTTCCTTGGATGTAGCTCTTTGAGTACTGTTTCTCTAGATATGTAGATCTGAGAAATTAGAGACAAGTTATCTGTTCCACGCACACTCACCACACAATGTGTGATACTAGATAATCACAGTAGACATTCTTGTTCAAAATGGGGGAAAGTGGTAGATACAGAGGAGGGAGTGGTCCATAACAGTGCCAACATCCAGCCGGGCAAACTTTCATTATTTGATTATGTATCAAGACATGAGAATTATAATTTTTTTTCATATTTCAAGTTTTTATTTTATTCAAAAGTTAAAGCTAAATTTATTCCCCAAAACAATATGTGTATTTTCAGAAAAGGACATACAAATGAAATCATAATTTAGGCTGGTCTCAACATTTTTATACTCATAAAATGTCATTAGTGGTAAAAAACATGTATAAATATATATATATATATATATATATATATATATATATATTGGACTTCCATTAATTACAAGAAAGTTAATGTAAATTTTCAAGTAGACTCATATAAAATCTCTTTTGTTATGCATATTAAATTTATTATAGTGGCTTTAGTGACTTTAGATTTCCTGAATCATATCTACTTTAAAATATCGCTAGTGATATCTTTGAGTTTTTTTGTTTTGTTTCATTTTTTGTATTTTCTTTTTCTTTTTTTTTTTTTTGGCTTGGAGATCTTTTATGTGAATAATGCCCTTTAAAAATGTTATAAATGAAACTATGATAGTTTTATTTTCATTTTCAATTTTACTTCAGAGCCACATGTATGTACCCAAAGAGCCGCATGTGGCTCACAAGCCGCAGTTTGCCGACTCCTGCCCTTGAGTAGCAGCTCCTAGAGCATTATGGATTGAATTGTATCCCCAAGACGATATGTTGAAATCCTAACCTCAGGACCTCAGAATATGATCTCATTCAGGAATGGGGTCAATGTAGGTATAATAAATTAAAATGAAGTGATATGGGAGTAGGGCAGGCCCTTCATCCAATATGCCTGGTGTCCTTGTAAAAGGGACACTGACACAGTAACAGTGGGAAGAAACCCTGTGATGACAGAGTATAGAGCTATGCAGGTACAAGTCAAGGAACGCCAAGGATGCTTGACGACAGCAGAGCAATGAGAAAAGCACAGAACAGGTTC